AGGTTTTGAAGGTCATAGAATTTCTATTACAAGGAAATTGTCATTTTAATACAAAAAATATTCATAGAGGAACATAAACGAATGTTTTATTGCATTGCAATAAAACTTTACTTACATAAGTAGGTGATAGGCTGGAGTAAGTGCATGTGCTATAGTTTGGTGAGCCCAGGCCACAATACTATAAAACGGAGCCAGCTGTGGGCCTGAGTTGAAAGATGTGCAGGCTCTTGGTCCTCTCAAGATTGTGAGAGGGGAAAAAAGGAAAAGTTCCCATTCACTCTCTGTGTTTTTATTCATTAAAACCTCATCAAGATTTAAACCTGAGATTGGTGTTGTGCTCAATGCCTTAATAGGAATAAAGTAGCAGGTGAAGTTATTCTTGCATGAGGAAGAATTTCTGAATAAGGAATAATATGATATTGTACAATATGTGGTCTTGGATCCATATCCTGGCGTAGAGTTCCTAAAATGCTTCAAATGTTTCTGGAGTGATAAGAGTAGCTTTGTATGATGACTGTTGACCAGGACAGATATCCTCAGGATGAGTGCTGGTCCAGAAGAACTAAGGTATGCTTGATTCTTCAGCCCTATCCCCTAACCTTGAGGTTGAGAGGTACTGAAAGTTAAATTGAATATTTAAATTGCTAATTTAAATCAGTCATTCTTTCTAGTAAAGCCTCTGTGAGAACCCAAAAAGAATAAATTTAGGGAGATTCTGTATAGCTGAATTTGTAGAGGTTCCTGGTACGAGGCACCCCAATAGGCATGGAAGTTCTGCAGCTTTTCCTACCCTGCTATGCCATATATATTTCTTTATCTAGATAGTTCTCTGTATTTATAACAAACCATAAGCACAAGGAAGTGTTTGCTTAGATTCTGTAAGCCATCCCAGCATATTAGCCAACTCAAGGAGGGTACAGTGGGGACCCTGAGATGTAGCCATTTGGTCAGAAGTATAAATGACAATGTACTAGTTGTTATGTTGCATGAAGTATGGGGAAGTTTTGTGGGACTGAGCCCTCAACCTGTGGGATGAAGCTGTCCATGTAGATAGTGTAAGAATGTTATTGAATAACAGGAAACCTAGCTACTGTCTGTTGGAGAACTGCTTGATGTGTGTGGAAAATTACCCACACACGTAATATCCAGTGTTCTGTGCAGGTTCGAAGGAAAATAACTTTGATTTTTTTTTCTTATTTCATTACCATCAACTGCAAAGAGACTAATGTAGTAGTTTAGAAGTATTTTGGCTTTGAGACAGGATTTGTTCAGTCATTAAGTATGTGTGTGTAGAAAGGGAAAGAGATCTGCTGACGGATCTGCGATAGACTTGGGGAGACCACAGAATCTTCTGAACCTCCCCTGAATTGATTCTCAGGTCCCCAGTGCTGTCAGCCTCACCCACCATCTCACACACACTGGGGGAATTGTACCTTTCTGAACAGAGTTTGTGGCATCTTTTAGGACTCGGTGACCTTTGAGGATGTGGCTGTGGACTTTACCCAGCAGGAGTGGGCTTTGCTGGATCTTGCTCAGAGGAGCTTCTACAGAGATGTGATGCTGGAAACCTTCCAGAACCTGGTCTCACTAGGTAAGATTGGCAGTGTTGTTCATGTAG